GTCGCCCGCGGCGAGCAGCGGGCAGCTCAGCCGAGCGGCGGCCGCTGCGACCTCAGCGACTCGGAGGCCGACAGCAGCAGCCGAGGCGAAGGCCAAGCGGGCCGCCCAGAGGAGGACACGCCAGTCCGAGGCGAAGGCCTACCAGTCCTCGAAGGGCCGCACCTTCCTGGAGGCCCGCTCGGTGTCGAAGCCCGTGGAGGCGCTGTACAACACTCTGATGGACGAGTTCGAGCGTTGGGCGGCGGCCGAGCAGCTGGAGCTGCGGACGCTGGCGCAGCGCGACGCAGCGCTGGCGAGGTACTCGACCTTCCTCTTCTTCGAGGGCCACTCAGCGAGCGACTTCAGCAAGACGAGGGCGGCGGCCGCCTTCCGTTGGCTCGACGTGTCGAAGTCGGGCGTGGAGCTGCAGCGGGCGCGGCGGGCCCAGATCGGGTTCTGCAAGGTAGCGCCCGAGCGGTCGAGGCTGCCCATCCCGCTGCTGATGGTAGCTGCGATCGCCAACGAAATGGTGTACATGGGGGTCCCCTGGTACATGCCGATCGCCGTGCTGCTCCAGTTCGTGCTCTACCTCCGCCCGTGCGACGTGCTGTCGCTCTGCCGGGAGGAGCTGGTCCCACCTCTTCCCCAGAGCATGGGAGGGCTGGGCAGGTGGAGCGTGCTGCTCCATCGCCAAGAGATGGGACAGCCAAGCAAGACTGGCGTGTTCGACGAGGCGATGGTCCTCGACAACACCGAGCACGACGACCTGGACCAGGCGTGGGCCTATCTCCTCAGCCGCTCCAAGGGGATGCTGTTCCCGATGACGTACGTGGAGTACGCGAACGGCTTTGCCAAGGCAGTGGAGACCTTGGGGTACGGCCCGCTGGGCGTGGCTCATCTGTACCAGCTGCGCCACGGCGGGGTGAGCCACGAGGTGGCGAGTGGACGACGACCGATCGCCGACGCTCAAAAAAGGGGAAGGTGGCTCAGCAATGCCAGCATGAGGCGCTACGAGAAAGGAGGCCGCGTGACCGAGATGCTGCACCGCCTGTCGTCCGAGCAGCTGCAGCACGCCCGCAGGTGCCGAGAACGGATTGGTGCGATCCTCTCCGGCTGCTCAGCGCCTCTGCCAGGCGGTCACGACGAGGCGTCGCGCTTGAGCTTTTCTCAGGCAGCGGCCACTTCTCGCAAGCGTGGCGCCAGTCGTCCTTCTTGAAAGGGATACCCATCTTCGAATGGGACATCAAGTATGGCGACCAGTTCGATTTGCTGAAGCCAGGCAATCAAAAACTTATCCGTGGATGGCTCATGGCGGGCATGGTGCGAGCAGTATGGATCGGTCTTCTTTGTGCGAGCTGGTCTTCTGCCCGCAGGTCAGACAACAGCGGACCGCCCGCCTTGAGAAATGCTGAACACGTGATGGGCCTGCCTGGTCTCTCTCTCGCAGATCAAATGAAAGTCAAAGAAGGAAATGCAATGATGAGATTCTGTCACTCCATCTTTTTGTTGTGCAAACGGTCGCGCATCCCAGTAGTGCTCGAGAACCCCCACTCCTCGCGCCTCTGGGTTTCTCCTCCCTTCCTCCGCATAAGACAGTGGCCAGAGGCCCAAGAATTCGTCACCGATTTCTGTCAATGGGGAAAGCCCTGGAGAAAGCGAACCCGTTTTGTTTCCCTTTTTGTGGACTTGAGCGATGCCGAGAGACGGTGCCGCTCGTGTAGAGGAATCTGTACTCGTACTGGCAGGCCCCATATGATTCTATGCGGTAGGCAGGACAACAAGTTTCTGACGTCTATCGCCGAGCCTTACCCCAACAAGATGTGTGCTAAGCTATGTCAATGTTTCGCTAATGCCATTGCCAACAAAAGAGCCCTCGCTTTGTATAATTTCGGCCTATAGGCCAGCAGTATTTCTGGCATCGTGAGCGCTTCCATAGTTTTGTGTGTGTGTGCGTGCTGTGGCCCTTGTATGATATCAAACAGGTGCCGTCGGCTCGTCACGCCTCCAGCTGAGGCGGATCGCCTCCGACCACACACAGAAAAGGTCTCGACTGGCGGGGAAGGTGCAGGCAGGCTGATGTAAGTGCTCGCACGTGAATCATCTAGACAAGCCCGACCGCCGCTAAGCGGCACAGCGCTTCCGTAGTCTTCTCTCCCTCCCTCCCTTGGCTCTCGCTGCCCGTTCGACTCTCTCAGCGCTAGGTGTGTGTGTGCGTGCTGTGGCCCTTGTATGATATCAAACAGGTGCCGTCGGCTCGTCACGCCTCCAGCTGAGGCGGATCGCCTCCGACCACACACAGAAAAGGTCTCGACTGGCGGGGAAGGTGCAGGCAGGCTGATATATATATATACAAAACACACAAACACACGCGCACACACACACACATTCACACACACACACACACAGACACACACACACACACACACACACACACACACACACACACACACACACGCACACACACACACGCACACACACAAGGTACGCACACGACAAGAGGAGACAAGACGGCAGCGGGAGACGGGAGGCGGGAGGAGGAGGACTGGAGACCGCAGTGCTCTAGTCAAAACAAATACCCAACCAAGGGGGGTGGGAATAAATTAAGAGGAAGTCACAAGCGAAGGCGCGATTCCAGAGCGCTGAGAGAGCGGTTCGTGAATCAATTGTTGAAGAAGTCTCGGGCGAGAGCGCGATTCCTGGAGACATTGCAAGGAAATCTCCAGCGAAAGCCCGACTGCTCAATCACTTGTAAAGAAATATACGGGATGTAAACCGGGGGCTAACAACGCAGTCTGAAGTGCAAGACCTTTCCCTGTCAAAAACTGGGTGCGAACCCTGGGAGTCACTTCGCATGAACCACACACTGCGCACCAGGAGGGCTCAATAATAATTGCTATCGCCTCCTCCTCCGTCCTCGTTCTTGATACAAAAAAATCATCCTCCCGGTTACACCCTCATGCGTGTCGGTAAGGCGGGCTGGGCGTTTCGCCTGAAACATCATCATCATCACCAGCATCACCATCATTGAAAACTCTGAAGCTTGAAACATGTAACAGAGTCAATGATGGAGGGGGACTGAAACTTGACATCTCGCCTTAGCGCCACGCGCCTTCGTCTTGAAAGTTTGCAGCAGTTCCAAGGATGGAGGACCGGTCCTTTTCAAACTGAGTCTATCATCCGAGCCCCGCGCGCATTCGTCATGAAAGCTGGCAACAGCTTCAAGGATGGAGGGGTGTAGATTGCACAATGTGGTTCTCGCCTAGAGACACACGCAACTCCCATCAGCCGTCTGGGCGTGAGTGGCCTAACGAGCTGGTTCTGCTAGCCCCCTCCTGCCCCTTCGGGGAGTGGGTTCCACCTTCCCCGACATCCTCCCCTTGGTTCTGGAGGGGGCGTTCCGCGAGGGCTTGGAGTGTCCAAGATGGCCCAGGATGGCTTCAAGAGGGCCACAAAGAGCCCAAGATGGCCTTCAAGATCGCTCACGATAGCCCAAGATGATGCAAGATAGCTTCCGATGCGCCTCCACGAGCCTTCAAAACCGCCCCAGGAAGGCTTCAAAACCGCCAGTAGAGGACCCCAAGAGGTTATACTTATGGCTCCAACAAGGGGTGGGTGGGGGGGGCGCACTTGGGACCCCCCACTTTTGTCCGATAGCTTCTAAGATGATCCCAAGAGGGCCCCGACATCCCCAAGAAAGCCCAAAGGAGCAGCAAGAGGGTCTCAAGAGGGGCCCAGGAGGCCCCCAAGAACGTTCCAATAACGCGGCAAAGGCTTCCAACATAGCCCCAAGATGGCCTTAAAACGGCCGCGTGTTGCTACACATTCCTGATCAGGTTCAACTCGCCTGTTTACTGATTTGGGACGGGTTGGTGGGGATACTTTTTGTCGCAACCGCAGGCGAAGGCGCCAGCGGCGACTCGGGTCGGGCGGGCTACGCGCGAACCTAATTGCCTAACGCGCCGAGACTGGTGGGGATACGCAAAACGTCAAGATTTCGTTGAATAAGTTGGCAACAGCTTCAAGGATGGAGGGTGGGTCGTTTCAGTGTGGTTTTTCGCCCAGGCGCCGCGCAATTTTTTCTTAAAAAAGCATTGGCTACAATTTCAAGGCTGAAGGGAAGGCGGTGTCCAAAAGTGGTTCTCGCTTTAGCGCCGCGCACATTCGTCTGAACGGTTCCCACCACTTTCACGAATGGAAGGCAGTTCCTCCTCAAACTGTAGCTCTCGCCCTAGCGCCGTTCACTTTCGTCCCAAAATAATGAAACAGTTAAGGATCGGGCACAAGTCGCTTTGAAAAGGGGCGCCGCGCACTTTCGTTTTTTTACGGAACGCTTACGTAGATATTCTTTTACAGACATGTACAACTGCACTGATACAGAGCGGTCCTTTTTCAAAATTAAGATCTCTCTTGAAATTTCCTCGGAGTGAGCGACCACAAGCGTAATGTTGCGCCAAAGCTACAAGGATGGAAGGATCCTTCGTCGAAAGACAGATCTCGATGGACACCTCGTTCAACTGTATGGTCACAATTCCTCGTAACCCTGATTACGCGCCACAAGGATTCAAGGCAGTTCATGTTCAAAGCAAGGCACTGTCCAAAAAGACAGACCATACTGCGCTGGTGCGCTGGTCTTTCAAGGGGAGAGCTTCTTGCAGTGAAAAAGGAAACCTGTGGAGACGTATGAGGATGGGGCCTGGGACGGGAGGGTACCACCTCCCTGCTTTCTTTCTCTCTCTCTCTCTCTCTCTTTCTCTCTTTCTCTCCATCGTCTTCCTCCTCCTGCCAATACTCCTTCTCGCACTGCACTCCTCCTCCTCCTCCTCCTCCTCCTCCTCCTCCTCCCAGCCCTGTCTTGTCCTCCTCCGCCTCCTTCTCCTCCTCCTCCTCCTCCGCCTCCTCCTCCTCTTCCTCCTTTTCCTATTCCTCCTCCTCTTCTTCCTCCTCCTCCTTCTCGTCCTCCCCCCTTTCTCCCCCCCCCTCTCATCCTCCCCCGTCCTCGCCCGTCCTCCCCCGTCCGCCGCTCTCCTGGGCGCTCTTCTCCTCGGCGGCCCTCTGCTCCTGCAGAGCCTGCGCTGGGCCGGGCGGACGGGCGAGCGGCGCCGGGCCGGATCGTGGCAGGAGCCCCCTTCGGCGCCCCCTGCGGGGACAGGACAGGGCAGGACAGAGCCATGCGCCCCAGGGCGCGTCGGCGGCGAATGCGGCACTCGGGCGTGCATGAAATCGAGCTGCGTCATGTAGTTGGTGAACTCCTCCGTTTCCACAGACGCGCACGGCGTGTGGACATAGTGACCTTGCCCACTCCAGCCGTGGGGCCCCGGCCCGCCCTCTGCGGGGAGGGGGCCTGAAACGAAACCTTCCAGCACGAGCGGAGGAGGAGGAGGAGGAGGAGGAGGAGGAAGGCCCTGAACTTAGAACGCGGCCGAATTCCAACCACAGCGATTAGCGTGATCAGATCCGAAGTCCTCTACTCTGGCCGAACAATAAGCCCTTACTTTGGCGAAGCTTCGGCCGAACACGGATCACACGAACACGACCGAATAAGCGATTAGAGGCGCAAAGAATCGAACACATGCCGAACACGTGATCAATCAAACACTGCCCAAGGCGTCACGCAGGTAAGGCCCCCAAGCTCAAAGTGTCATCAAAGACTGGGCCCCGACCATCAGAACTACGAAAAATACCCAGATAATTGTTTGGAACCCGGATTTTTTGAGTGACTGCTGAAAACAGCGAAATATCAGATTCGAGACGATGTTCGGGAGACCTGCGACAAACACCTAAATGAATTTGCTTAGCCCCGATTTTTCTTTGGAGACCTCCAGGCCGGAAAGCATGCTCCAGGGCATGGGCCGGATCTGGGAAGCACCACGATAAACTTGCCGGGCTCTTCTTTTTTTCAAGACGGTCCCCAAGCCCGAAGGCGCCCTCAACGGCTGGGTACATGTCCCCCGGGGCTGCGAAAAAGCACCGAGCACACACACACACACACACTCTTCGGACCCCATTTTTTGGTGATGGCCCCCAGGCCCGAGAACGTCCTCCAGGGCTGGGCCTCGTCCCCCGGGGCTGCGAGAAGTACAAGAGTCAATCATTTTCGGGGGCCGAAGAACTGTCTTGGAGGTGCCGACGCCCGAAAGCGTCCTCCACTGCCGAGGCCCCGGGCCCGAGAACGTCCTCCAGGGCTGGGCCCCGACCCCCGGGGCTGCGAAAACAAGGGCTCCCAACTTGGCGCTTCGCGCTGCGCGAAGCGCGAAGCGCGAATGACTTCGCGCTCCCGCGCCGCCTCCCAGGGGAGAGGAGGAGGAGGAGGAATCGGAGCCGAACCGCGAAGCGCGAACCACTTCGCGCCCTCGAGGGCGCCCTTGGAAGAGTACAAACACCAACCTTTCGGGGCCCGTTTTCTTTGGGGGGGGGGGGATGGGCCCCGAGGCCCGAGGACGTCCTCCGGCGCCGGGCCCCGGCCCCCCGCGGGCTGCGAGGAGCAGCCGAAGCAACGCGTCGGTGCCCCAGCGGTTCATCGGGGAGGCCCCCGGGCCCGCAGGCATCCTCCTCCTCCTCCTCCTCCTCCTCCTCCTTCCTCCTCCTCCTCCTCCTCCTCCTCCTCCTCCTCTCCTCCTCCTCCTCCTCCCCCCTCCTCCTCCTCCTCCTCCTCCTCCTCCTCCTCCTCCTCCTCCTCCTCCTCCTCCTCCTCCTCCTCCGCCTGGGCCCCGACTCCCTGGAGCTGCGAGAAGCACCGGCGTGTTCTGCTTCTGGCTACCAGACCACCCCAGCCCCACCCGAAGGCCCGAATTTGGCCCCGACTTCGGGCTGAGGGGGGCACGGGCTCCATGTGCGCTTTCAACGTTCCCCGACCCCCCCCCCCCACTCGAAATGGAGGGCAGATTGAGGGCTTCGGGTTGGGTTGGGGTGGTGCTGGTGGGTGGTGATATTTTGCTTCGGAAGCCGAAAGCTTGCTGGGGAGATCCCCGGGCGAGAAAAAAGCCCTCCAGGGTGGGGCCCCGAGCCCCGTGGCGGCGAGAAGCACGACAACGAAAGGTTCAGGGCCCGGCAAGTCTTTCCGGAGGTCCCCAGGCCCGAGAACATCCTCCAGGGCTGGGCCCCAGCTCCTGGGGCTGCGAAAAAACACTCGAATATATTGCTTCGGGGCCAGACAACCTTTTGATGATTCCCCGGGCCCGAAAGCGTCCTCCAGGGCTGGGCGCCGACCCTTGGGGCTGCAAAAACAATGAATTCATTGTCTCGGGGCCCGCAAAATCTATGTCGGGAGATCCCCAAGACCGAATACGCCCCCCAGCGCCAGGCCCCGACACCCGAGGCTGCGAGAAGCACCGAAACAAACGCTTCGGGTCCCGAAAGGAAGTCCCTGGGCCCGAAAACGGCCTCCAGGGCGGGGCCCGGACCCCCGAGGCCGCGAACAACAACACCCGGATCGACTTCGCCGAGCACCAAGACCAGAGAGATTAGCCGAACAAGCGATTGACGAACGCAGGTGCCGAACATAACCGAGCAAGTGATCAGAACGAAGGCCCTGAAGAAGGAGGGGCATATATGTTGGGAGAGGGCGGCGGGCTGCACGGGAGGGCCGGGAGTGAGGGAGGGCGGGCGGGAGGGAAGGAGGCAGGGAGGGAAGGAAGGAGGGAAGGAGGACGGGAGGAAGGGGGCCAAAGGAGGGAGGCCGAAACAGGTCAGATCGAGCAATGCGCCAATATGGCTTTAACTGGCCTGACCACAGGGAAGGAAAGAAAGAGAAGAAGAGGGAGGAGAGAGGGAGGCAGAGGGTCGGGGAACTGAAAAGGAAGGAAGGAGGCGGAGGAGGAGGAGGAAAAGAGGGGAGCTGAGGAGTGGGGAGGGGCAAGCTAAGCGCTGACGCCATATCTCGCATCCTACCCCTGCCGCTCATCCTTTCACATTGCGCCAGGTCCCTTGCTATTCGTCAGCTCGGGTGCTGGTCTGGACATTGATCCCTCAGTGGCGTCCGCAGTCAGGCGGCAGGCAGGGAGGTCGGGCGGCGTGTGTGCGCAGAGAACACGTGTACAATCGAACGGCGCCCTGCAAGAAACAGACATGCTCGAGAAGGAGAAGTTACCAACTTGGACCTCAACCCAACCCTATCAATCTCGAACCCTATACCGATATAACCCTGACCCCCTCCGAAAGCCAGTCCGGCATCGACCCCACACTGGCCCAATGCCGCGATCCCTTTTGCAATCCCCCGCCAACGAATGGGACGCGGTGCGCATCGGCTAACGGTAAGATCGTTTCATATTGACGCCCCACTCTATACTACGAATTCCATTCGGCACGCACTTGCTGATTTTCATACCTACCCAGTTCCTATATTCCTTTACAACGAAAACACAATGTGGTGGACACCAGTTGATCTTTATTTACATCGGTCCAACGCTCACCGTATTGTACAACATCTTGAGATCTTACACCCATCCGACCCTCAACATTCCCTTGAAAATTACAGACGATTAATTTCGGCTGATCTTTACAGCGACACGATACACACCACCCTACACACACAAACCATTGTTGTGCGCACGCACGCTGATCTTTACAACCTTCCGACCCCCACAACACCTTGCAAACAACAAGATGCTGGTGGACATCGGTTGGTCTTCAGAGAGTGTGTGTGTGTGTGTGTGTGTGTGTGTGTGTGTGTCTCGGACGTCTGCGAGCGGGCACTTTGCGAGCAGTGGACCGCGCTCGGTGAGAGAAGGAGAGCAGGGCGGAGGCGCGTCGCCAAGCGGCCACCTGCCCGGAGGCGGTGGGCCCCAGGCCGGCCGAGGGCAGCCAGGCGGGCGCGACCTCGCGCGCGGGAGCCGGGGAAAGGCGGGCCGCGCCGGCCCGGAAGCAGGCGCCCGCGGCCCGAGGGGGGCGCGCCGCGCGGAGAGCGCCAGCACGGTGCCATCCACCTCCTCCTCCTCCTCCTCCTCCTCCTCCTCCTCCTTCTCCTCCTCCTCCTCCATCATCAGGGGGAGCCCGCGGTCCCTCGCCGAGAGAGACCCGGGCGACGGCAGGCGCAGCGGCTCCTGGGAGCAGGAGAATGCGCTGGCCATCCTGTCCAGAGGCTGGGCTGGCTGGACTGGGCGCCGGCCGCCATGCTGCCCGAGGAAGCGGAGGAGGGGAAGGCGGGCGCAAACACCCAACGGAAGAAGAAGCGAGGCAAGAGCATGGACCCAGTGGCCCACCGGCCGCCGAACTTGCCAGAACCCGAGGCGGTGTTAGATAAGGCAAGGCCGGACGACTTGATCCTGGCGGGTCTGAAGACGCGTGGGGATTGAGAGAAGGCTAAGCTCGAGCTCATCTTGGACAAGTTGGTGTGCTCCGCCATCCAGTCGCACAGCCTGGGTGGGCGCCGGTGGCCCTTTTTCCGCAGAGCGCGCGGGGCCAGCCTGCTCAGGGAGGTCAACCGAGCCAATGGGAAGGAAGAGGAGGAACTGCTGCTGGAGATCGTCGAGCACCTTGCAAGGCGCGGGCACGAGAAGGCGGGTACCATCAAGCAACGCCTCAGCGCCGTTCGGGCGCAGCACTTGCCCTCGGCATGGGCGACCTGACCGCGGGGGCTGGAAGGCTCTGGGTGGCGATCGATGGGCTCGGGCGGTGAGATGGCGCCCCCAAGAGAAAGAAGCCAGTCACGCCGAGGATGTTGCGGTGGATCAGGAAGAAGCTGCAGCCCGAGACGTCGCGGGAAGGAGCGGCTCTGTGGGCGACGCTTCTGTTTCCTCCTGAGGGACAGCGAGCACGTGTCCAGCGACCAGAGCGGTTGCGCGAGTAACAAGGGCCTGCGAGGGGCAGACGGCACGCCGAAGACGGGGAGCGGACCCTGCAAGAGCTGGCCCAAGGCAGACGAGGTGGGCATGAGCCAGCAAGACAGACCGGTAAAATCGTGGCGAGTGGCGCAACTGCTTTGAGGTCGAGGCGGAAGCAGGTGAGGAGGAGGAGGAAGCCCGCCTTTGCGTCGTGGCGGCACTGTCTATCTACGAGGGCTGGGCGAAGGAGAGGCTCCCAAGTGCGAGGATGCACGACCCGCTGTTCGCCTTCAGCGACGAAAAGCTGGTCACAC